CCCGTGACTCCTGGGAGCTTTGCTGGGCTCTGGTAGCTCAGGCCTTTCAACTTGTGTCCTCGGGCCAGAGCAGCTGAGGCTGGGTTGCTGGGGGTGGGGGGGAATGGGGCCGCACCCCAAGGCCAGGTCTCTCTGATCCTACTTCCAGGCCCAGAACTCCTCCTGCCAGATTCTATCCCACCCCAGAGAGGGGCGGTCACTTCTCCAGGCCACTCAGCGAGACAGAGGCCCAAGCATTGAGAGTTGTTCGGCACTGGCCCCATCTTGGACTGTGCCCTGGGGGGTAGTAGGTAGGAGAGGACTGGACTTCAAGGGGCAGAACCACTTCTGCAAAGGGCAGAAAGCCCATGACCCTTAGGGGGAGGGGTTTGAGAGGAGGGGGAGTCCAGAAGCCCAGCTGGACAGGGGAGAATCTTAGTGTGTCAGATAATGTCTAAACTGACGAGGGGCCAGGCAAGCTGGCAAGGACTTCCAGAAGGAAGAGGGCTACAGCATCCTTGGGGAAGAGGGACTCTGAGAAGAGAGGGGCTGTGCCCTGGGCCCTAGAGAACAGGGCGGCACTCCTGCAGGACTCTGCCAAGGTCAGCGCCCTGCTCCATGGACAGAGGACTCTGCTCCAGGACCTGCAAGAGATGAGGTAAGGGCACCTGCGAGGAGGGGTCCTGGGGGAGGGACAGAGAAGCCCTGCTCCACCCACTTGCTCAGCCTCAAGTTCCTCCATTGGCCCCCTATTCTTTTCCTCACTTCCTGAGCATCTGACACAAAGTCTGGCACATAAGGAGGGGCTGGGGCAGAGTTAGGTTTGTCCAGTTGACCTGAACTTAATTGAATCACGTTTGAAGTCTGAAATTCCTAGTATAAAAGTAACTCTCCCTGGAAGGGACCCTTCATGAGAGCCCCTATCAGACACCCCACTTGCCCAGGGAGAGTTGATAAATCTGAGCCCTTCTTCAGTGACAGCTCCTGGAAGGAGGGGATTTTTTTTTTTTTAAGATTTTATTTATTTATTAGAGAGAAACAAAGCACAAGCAGGGGGAGCCAGGCAGGAGGAGAGGCAGACCCCCTGTTAAGCAGGGAGCCCCACTTGGGACTTGAAGCAGACCCCCTGTTAAGCAGGGAGCCCCACTCGGGGCTTGATCCCAGGACCCTGGGATCATGACCTGAGCCAAACGCAGATGCTTAACTGACTGAGCCACCCAGGCGCCCCACAGAGGGGATGTTTTATTTTTTTTTAATATTTTATTTATTTATTTGTGAGAGAGAGAGAGAGAGTGAGAGAGAGAGCATGAGAGGAGAGAGGGTCAGAGGGAGAAGCAGACTCCCTGGCTCAGCAGGGAGCCCGACGCGGGACTCGATCCCGGGACTCCAGGATCATGACCTGAGCCGAAGGCAGTCGCTTAACCAACTGAGCCACCCAGGCGCCCACAGAGGGGATGTTTTAATGGCATTCTTGGAGGAACCATAACCAAGATTGGGCCCAGCTGAAGGGGGGGCAGTCCCTGACTTCTTTTTGCCCCCCTCCAGCCCCCCAACATCCCACTTTAGGCCAAGCCTCGGGAGCTACCTATAGAGCTCTGGAGACAGGGAGGTCACCTTGATGCCACGGAGGAGGAAAGCTCCAGGCTGGATGCTGGATTCTGGGTCCCTCAGCCACATCTAGATGCTTGGGGGTGGGGAGATGGGAAGAGGGAGAAGAACTAAATCCCCTGGGGGCTGGGGGTGGAAAGCAGAGCCCCGGGAGCCTAGAGTTGAGACAGACAACTTTAAGGAGAACTTTCTCCGAGCTAAAGCTGTCTGAGGATACAGGAAGAAGGTTTGGGGAAAGAAGACCAGCCCCTAAGAAGGGGCCCTATGGATGGTGCCTGTTTCCCACCAGGTGCTGCTGTTAGGGATTGTGAGAAATGGTTAGGAGGTTTGGGTGCAACCAGAAGGCATAATGAATCATCTTCCTTGGTTTCCACCCCCCACCAGGGATGCAGCTGCCCACGTGGCCTCAAGAGCCCAGCTCTTCTATCTGCCTGTGGGCACCAAGCATCATTTCTTAGAGCTGGCCCAGATCCTGAGCCTTCTGCAGAAAGACCTTCAGGGCCCACTGGTGAGAGGGAAGGAAGGGGTACCATGAGGACCCCATCCTTGAGGTCTGGGCTCGACCCCCTTCCTCTAGCACTTCTGCATCATCAGGCCCTCCTGCCCTCATGCTCTCCTCTTGGGACTGCTGGCAGGCACACCCATGTCTGTGTCTGTAACACATACGTGATCTTCTCTCTGCCCTCTCTGCTCTCTGGAGGCTCCCATAGACTCTCGATGCCAGCAGGGCCCTGGAGACCCTTGGGTCCAACCCCCCTCAGTGACCAGAAGGGAAACGGGAGTACTCAGAGCTCGGTGATAAAGCCCTCCCTTCCCTGTGCCCCATCTTGCTCTTACCTTTGCCCTCACCATCACCTTGTCTTTCACTCTCTACTTCTCTCTTTCTCATCTCTAGAGCCTTCAGAGAGCCCTGATGATCCCAGGCCCTAGGCCTTCCCAGCTGTTCCCACAGATGGAGCCATGGGAGCTAGAGGGGGGATCACATCCAAGTTCCCTGGATGAGAGCCAGGGTGCCCCAAGCCTAGGGAGAGGAAGTAGAGCCCACACATGGCCCAGATCCCAGGTCCTCTTTTTCCTTTTGGGTAAGAAGCTGATCCAGGACTTTAGAATGTCCCCTTTCAGGAAGCAGCAACCAAGAAGCCCCGCCCACCTGGCCAACCCCCAGGGGCCTCCTCATGCCTGCGGCCCAGCATCTTCTTGTTCTTCCTCCTCATTCAGACTATAGGCTTCTTCTGTTGTGTGCACTTCAGGTGGGTCTTCCCATGGGTAAGACATCCTACACCTACCTGACATCTCTTAATTCTGGGTCATAGCTACTCAATTTGAGAGATGGGGCACTGAGGCCCAGGGGGACTATGCCTGGTCTACCAGCTGACAAGGAGCAGCACGCAGGCTAGGACCCATTTTTCTGATAGGCTCTACTGACCACCGGCTCAATTGCTGGCCCCATCTAAGCCCTGCAATCACAGAAATCACTTGCTGGTGTGAGAAACTGATAAGTAACTGATAGTTATGTGGTCAGTGCCATGATGGCAGGAAGCTCAGGGGCTATGACAGTACAGGAAAAAGCACTTGACCCAGCTTGGGGCGATCAGGGCATTGACCTGGAAGGGACATTGGATATGGGTCATCAAGGTAACTAGAAGTTTTCCAGCCTGTCAAGACAAGTAAAGGCATCAATGCAGAGGAATAGCATAAGAAAAGGCATGAAAACATGAAGAAAGCACAATATTCTGGAGAAAAAGTGGCAAGTTCAGTACTGTCAAAGCAAAGTGTGGGACCAGTTTGCGAAACTGGGCAGAGAATTTAAAAGGTGGTAGGAGGTCACTAATTCGGCTTGGTGGGTGTTTGTTGAATGAATGAAACATTTAGAGATGGAGAGTGTGCTACGGTGCTCAGAAATGGGACTGACAGTCCTTATTGGTGGAATTTCAAGACAAGAAGAATCAGTGTGGTCTGGGGTGGTCCCCGGGGAGAAGTGAAGTGTGCTGAGCTTTAACAGCAGAGTAGAAGAGGGGACAGCCTCCAGGTGAGAACAGCAAAGGTACAAAGTGGAAATGATGACAAGCTTATGCATTATGTAGGCTTGCAATGGTGGCCACAAGGCTGGAGCCACCTGGACAGACCTTGAATGCCAGAGGAAGAATGTTGTCTTGATGGGGCAGGCCAGGGAGCCACAAAAGGTCCTAGAACAGGGGAGGCTGTGGGGGAGAGATGCTAGAGAGGTGAGTGTGGGAGCCTGGTCTCAAGAACCCCAAAAGCAGAAATCCAAGTAACCTTCTTCTCCTTTCCCTGGCAGTAGGCAGGAGCTGGACAAGAGCCTTTGGGACTGTTTGCCCACAGGCAGCCCTCTGTGTCCTGCACCACGCATCCCTGGGGCCCTGGGGGTTCTGAGGAGGCAGCCTCTCTCCCCCAGCATGCGTGCATGACTCACCTGAGAACCCTGAAGGAGGTGGGTGGTGTCTAGGGAGTAGAGAGCTTGGCCAGTACCTTCTCCTTCTGGGTGCCCAGCTCCTGCCCACACCTTAACTTTTGGGGAGCTCCAGTCTTATTAAAGGTGATTTACATCTTCCCATGCCCTATGCTTTGATATGCTCATTTACCTTCTGACTTCACCTTAATCTTTCTGAAGGCTTCCATCTTTTCTGGACAGGTAGCTGGCAGTGGACTCCAAGCAGGCAAGGAGGTCAAGGACTGGCTTGATTGCCAAAAGCCAGATACCCCACAGCCTTGAGCCCTTAGACAATGGAGGGAGAGGAAGTCCCAACTGTGTATAATTCTATCCCCAAATTCACCCAGAACAAAGAGTGGTATCTCCAGGGGTCCTTCCTGGCTCAGTCCAGCCAGCATCACCATGAACAACCCTCTCCCTCTCCACTTCTTGCAACTTTAGGGTTCAGCGGGGCTGGCAAGTGAGGGAGAACTCTGAGGCAACCCATGGAGACATAATTGGGATTCCTGCTTTCTGGTCTCCGTCCCTTTCCCAGCGTCCAGATCTTTGAGCAGCTGCTGGGGCAGCCAGATGGGGAGGATGCGGTAGGGCCCAGGGCTGAATCTTTGCCCCTTGCTGCCACTTGAAACCGCCCCCTGAAAACCTGGCTCTCAGCGACCTGAGAGAGGAGGGGGTGGAGGAAGAGTAGGGAGCAGGGCTCCAGGTGCATCAGTGCAGCCCCTTTCCCTGGGGAGCGACCCCACCCCCGCAGGCCCTAATCCGTTGTCAGCAATGCCCAGGCGGAGCTTGGCGTGGAAGGAGGCACGTGGGGGAGGCGGGAGTGCGGAGCGGGCACGTGGTCCAGCCTCCTCAGCCCCGTGCATGCCCCCCGCCCCCCGTGAGGAGGGGTTTGGGGAGGTGGGGGCGGGCCTGGGCGGGGGCGGGGGGCGGGCGGCGGGAGGCTCAGAGCGTGGGGCGCTGGCCCGCGGCAGGAGCTGTCCGCGAGACCTAGTGCTGAAGTAGGTGCGGACGTGCCTGGCTCCCGGAGCCCGGTGCCAGGGCCAGCGAAGACCATGGCGTTCATGGTGAAGACTATGGTGGGCGGCCAGCTGAAGAACCTCACCGGGAGCCTGGGGGGCGGCGATGACAAGGGGAACGGGGACAAATCGGCGGCCGAAACGCAGGGCATGAGCCGAGAAGAGTATGACGAGTATCAGAAGCAACTGGTGGAAGAGAAGTGAGTGGGATCCTTTCCTGCCGCCAACGACCTTCCCCCACCCCCTCCAGCCACCTGGCCCACCACTAGGGCGATTTCAGACCCCGAGTCTCCTTACCTTACTTTTTTAGACGCGGTAAGAAGCTGGGATCTGCTTTCTAGGCTGACCCCAGATCCACCCCATCTCAAACCCAGGACCCCGTCCCAGCTTCGCACTCTGGGCCCAAAGAGGGTGGGGGCAGGGACAGGAGGGACCTGGGATGGGGTGGGGGCACGTGCATTTCTGACGAAACAAGTAATCCCTTAATCCGATCTGGTCCTAGCCGTCTGCATCTTCCAACTGCATCTCCTTTGAGCCTGAGGTTCTGAGAAAAGCGATGCAGCTGAGGGGTCTCAGAGTCACAGAGACAGATCTTGAGATGGGGCACTCATAGATATTGAGCCTCAATGTCTACTTGTGTGCAGGCAGTGCTGGGACAGAAAGGCAGCTGGGGCTGGACTCCAGAGCTAGGCTGCTTAGTTAGGTTCAGATCCAGGTTTTTCTTCTTTTTAGCTGGGTGATTTTAAACTGGTTACTTAAACCTTTCTGTGCCTCAGTTTCCTCTTCTGTAAAATGGGGATGGTAACCATAAAACATGCCTTATATATTTAGAAGGATTAAATTATTAAACGCATGTAAACTGCATAGCACAGTGCCCGGCACATGGTGTATCATTAAATATTAGCTATTATTTCGCTTAATCCTGATAATAGTTTTGTGAGTTGCAAAAGAGGGAAATAAGTGACATACCCAGAGTAGTGGTGCAGCCAGGACGCAAACCCAAGTCTGTCCCCACACGACACAATCTGTCAGGAAGGGAAAAGACAAACGGAGTTAAGAGGCCGCGAGGGACACATATTAGGGTCTGCAGAGCGAGCCAGACAGGCTGACGCTCCCGCCCCGATAGTCCAGTGGCAGGTACAGGGACAACAAAGGGCCGCGATGATGGGGGGAGGCAGCACAGACTAACCGAGGCCGCCAGGTCGGAGCACCCTCGCGACACACAGGCGAGCCCGGCGGGAGCGAAGCTGTTCGCGCCCCGGGACGCGGAGACCCCTCCCGCTTTCCTCGCAGACCCCGCCCATTCTCTCAGCCCTTGAGATGACTCCGTCCCGGTGCTCCCGCAGGATGGAGCGGGACGCGCAGTTCACGCAGAGGAAGGCGGAGCGGGCCACGCTGCGGAGCCACTTCCGAGATAAATATCGGCTGCCCAAGGTAAGCTTAGGAGTGGGCTGGTAGGCACATCGGGACCCAGAGCTTGGAGCTCCCCACTCTTTCTCCGGACTCCGGGCTCCGCAACTCTCAGCTCCTAAAACTCACGGAGTTCTTGGTTGGATCCTTCGTTCTCTGACTCAGAGGCCAAGGCTTGGTGCTGAAGCCTTCCCAAGACTGATAGGTTTGTGTTTCTGGAGCCAGTTCAGACCCCTTCTCTCCCCCCACGTCCCCCTATCAGGCCCAGGCAGGTGAAGAAGTGGAAGGCAGTAGATTTTACCACAAGGTTGAGTACACTCGGAGCTCCTGCACACCCAGGGACGGCAGGGTTGGGTAGAGAATGCAGCGCCCACTGTGTGCCAGGCACTTGGCCTTCATGCCTTCATGTAACCCCTCAATAATCCTTCCAGGTAGCTATCACCCACACTACAAATAAGGAAACTGAGACTCAGAGAGATTAAGGAACTTGACAAGGCCACACAGCCAGCTAGTGTTGGAGCGGGGTCAGAGCTCAAGCCTGTGAATGTGGAACCTCAGCTTGCTGTAGGACCCTGGATGCCTTCCAGGGTATGGAGTCCATCTGCAGAGAGCAAAATGCCCATTGGTTGGTCAACAGCCAGGAGGATGTCTCCCATAGGCACTCTAGCACTAGATGGACGTGTAAGTGTTGCCTAACGAGGGAACTGAGGCACAAGGTACTCCCAGTGCCCAGAATCTTCCACTTGAATTGGAAGATCAGACATGCGAACATCACATTCATTCATTCAACAAATGTTTACTAATCCCTTGGCTGCCTCTGACTCTCCACAGGGCACCAGTCTGTCAGCGGGAAAACCAGCCCAGAAAGCAGGGAAAGCTATTGAGTTAAACCCAGCTAGGAATGGAGTCATTGCTCAAATGCTTGCACTAAGCACAACTCCTGTCATCAGGGAACTCTGAGTCTAATGAAAGAGGGAAGACTTGGCTGTAACTGAGTAGGACATAAAGTGGGAAGCACCAGGGTCCCCAAAGGGATAGAGAAATGCAACGACAACCAGTAGGTGTTGTGCAAAGAGATCACAGATGTTGGAATCCATGATGTAGGTTTATTTTTTTTAATATTTTATTCACTTATTTGAGAGAGAGAGAGAGTGCGCACAAGTGGGGGGAGGGGCAGAGGGAGAGAGAGAAGCAGACTCCCCGCTGAGCAGGGAGCCTGACACGGGACTCAATCCCAGGACGCCGGGACTATGACCTGAGCCGAAGTCAGCCGCTTAACCAACTGAACCACCGAGGTGTCCCCATGATGTAGGTTTAAAACAAGTGCCGCTGCTTCCTAGTTGTGCGACTTCCACAAGTTACTTACTTAAATTGAGTAATTTACTTACTTAAACTGAGCCTCAATTTCCTTATTTGTAAAATAGAAATAAGAATACCTACCTCACAGGGGTATTTTGAATGTCAGCCATAGAGTAGGCACTTGATAAATGGTATCCGTCACTGTGATCCCCACACCCTCCAGCATAGGTAATGACAGCCAGCCTATGACTTAGCTGGCTGTGACAATTTGACTCCTAAGCATTTTCATTTTGCTTTATTCACTATGCTGGCGTCTTCAGTATCTCAGAGTGAAGTTAGGTAGTATAAAAGTGCAAAGTATAAAAGTGCAAGGTCTCCATGTCCAAGTGTCAAAAGCTTGATCCTGGGATGTGGGGGTGGGGGCTGAATTACTAGAACATATGGCTCAAGAATCTAAGGGCTGGGAGCCCAGTCCAGGCCTCCTCCCTGTCCCTTCAACTCTGGGTCTTCCTGGGCCTCCAGCCCCACTCCACCTCCTCCCCTCTTCCCTTCAGAACGAGACAGATGAGAGCCAGATTCAGATGGCAGGTGGAGACGTGGAGCTGCCCCGGGAGCTGGCCAAGATGATTGAGGAGGACACAGAGGAGGAGGAGAGGGCCTCCGTCCTTGGGCAGTTGGCCAGTCTCCCTGGCTTGGACCTCGGCTCACTCAAGGACAAGGCCCAGGCCACATTGGGGGACCTCAAGCAATCAGCTGAGAAGTGCCACATCATGTGACTACTTCCCCTGGGGTTGCCCACTGGGGTGACCAGGGGCCTGGGCCCACATGAGGGCTAAGAGCATGTCTCAATGTCCAGGGACCCACACCCCATCTTAGTTTTGTTTCCCCCTCTCCCATGTTAGCTCAGGACCCTTCTCATCCATGGCCCAAACCTGCCTTCTGGTCTCTCCCTCTCCCCTGGGACAAGAGTCCCCATTCTTCACCCTTTCCCTCAGGACCCACCCTCTCTGCTCAGCCTGGAGAAGCCTCCTAAGATTGTAGGAATAGGCCCATCCCTCTCCGGCCATGGCCCCAAGCTCCTGCACACAGGAGCACCCACAGAGAGACACATAGAGAGACATGGAAACCATGGCGTGTGCGGAAGCATGCACCACAGACACATCCTGGCAAACACACACACACACACACACACACACACAAGCCAGCCCGTCTAGACACCAACACTCAGACATGCTTAGAGGGATCTTTGGGCAGACACCCTCAGTAGATCAGAAGCCCAACTTTGAGCCTCCACGTTCATTTTCCTTGAAAGCCACTGCTCTTTCTGGGCCTCACTGCATCATCTCTAAAATGGGGGTGGACTGGGTAATTTCTAAGACTCTTTCTGGCTTCGCCTCCCTGGCCCTCGGAGCCCACCCCGCACTCCTCCTTGGGCCGGACAACAGCTGCAGCCATAGCCTCGAGCGGCTGCCGTTGCACCATGGGCTCTGGCTCTCGGGAGCCGAGTGATGCTGTGTGAGGGGCCGAGTGCCAAAGATGAAGCTGGCACTGAATAGTAGCCCAGGCGGCTCCAGGCCTTCTCTGGACCCAGGCCCAGGCAATTTCTGTTCTGTTCCCGTAGAACTCTCTCTGGATTCCATAGCTGGATCTCCTGTCAGCTCCGTGAAAAATAAAAATTTGAAATGATGTACCTATCCTCCCACTTCTTATAGACCTCCAGGAATCCTGGGGTTCGCAGCCCCACACCCCTCTTCACCCATAGCTTCATAGCAATGCCAGCCTCTATTAGATATTCAAGCTCTACCCTCTCGGGGCCCTGGGCAAGGGCAGGGTGCCCACACTGATCTAGAGCGCCAGGGCCAGCCTGGGGCTGGATGAAACAGGTCTGGGCTTTGAGGAGGGTGTGGCAGCCAGCTGGATGGGGGTGCACATGGACATGGCCGGGCCTCCGGGCCATTACTGGGGACCCCAGGAGGGGCTATGGCTCAATCACAGCTGTCTCCAGCACCTACGCCTACCCCCCCTTCTCACCTTGGAGATGGCAGGTATAACAAAGAGAAGGCAGGGCCACTGCCTTCCAGTCCTGGCACTGCTGTGTGATTTGAGCAGGTCCCTTTCCCTCTCAGAGCCTGTTTTTCCTGCTGTGAAATGAACTACCCCTTCTCTAAATAACAATGTTTCAAAGGATGACTGTTTGTAAAGCCCTTGACACGCGGTAGACCAATAAATGACAACTGAATCCTTAAAAAAACAAACAAACCCTGAAGAGCCCAAATCTCATCCTACTTACCTGTGGGGGGTCCAGGAAACCAACCCCAAGCAGGCCACCCCAGGGCCCCGAGCAGCAACAAGGTGCAACAGGCTCACCCCAGGTGTCCCTGCCTGGCGCCAGCCTTGGGAAGCCAGCCAAGGTTTACAGACAGCACAGCCATATGAGGGTTTAGTTTCAAGGGCCAAGTTTCCATTAGGCCTCCCTTGTAAAATAAGAACAAGAAACATAAAACCTCTTCCATAGGTAACATGGGGAGAAACATGTGGAAGAGAGAGGAGAAAGAATGAGGAATGAGGAGGGTGAGGACAGGGAGGGACACAGGCCCAGGACGCGGTGGCTTGGGCTGTCACGCCGAGCCTTCTCTCCCGAGCATCTCCTGGGAAGGGGCCTGGGCCTCTGAGCTGCTCCTAGGCTGCCCCTGGGCAGTCTCTGGACAAAACCCCCTCCTGACCTCCCTGGAGCTGGAGGAGACCCAAGCTGAAGCCCCAGGCTGGGTGTGTGAGGGGGGAGGTGCGTGGGCCTCCTCAGCTGCGTCAGCAGCAAGGCCCACGTCAGCACGCCACCCTCCAGGGACCTTCTGCCTAATGGGATTGGACAGACGCCTTTTCCCTCAGTGGTTTGCAGGACCCAGAGTGAAAGAGGCAGAGAGGCAGGCTGTGGGGGAGCCTGGAGGTTAGCACTCACTGAACCCTCACAAAATGAGCTGGTTGGGGCCTGGAGTCAGGGAGTTCGGGGGGCTGAGCCCCCACACTCGTTCCCTCCTCATGCCTGGGTACCCCAAAAAGCCCTGACCTGTCTGCGCGGCCCTGGGATGGGGGGAGGAGGCTTTGGCGCAAAAGGGGAGTCAGCTCTGGGGCCCAGGCAGAGGTGGGTAAGGAGGACAGGCTGAGGGGCCTCCAGGCTCTGCCGGGGTCTCCAGGCTCTGCCGGCCTCTCCCTGCCTCCCCTCTCCCTTTCCCTGCTCTCAGGGCGCCTCCCACCCTCTTCTACCCCGTTCCTGGCTCCTACCTGTCCCATACCCACACCCTCAGGTGGGGGGCTGCCTCTGTACCTGCCCCCACTCCCGAGCCCTCAGGGCCCGTCTATGTGACCACTACTCTCTTCCCGGCTGGTTTCTGCTTCCACTTACTCAACAGTCATTTGGTCCGTGACTGGTCCCCCCCCCCCGGTATGATGGGAAGGCCGCAGAGAAAGCCACTTGCCCCCAAACTTCCCTTTTCACAGCAATTAAAACCCTGCCATTAGGACAGGGTAGTTTAGAGTAAGCCATTTACCTCCCTGGGCCTTTTTCCTTCTCCTGTTTTTCTTCCCTCCTCCTTTCCCCTTTCTCATGCTTGCAGGCAGTCTGAGGATACAGGAGATGTTGAAAGGGGACAAGACAGCCCCTGTGTCCCGAACCCCTCCACCCTTTCAGGAGGAGAGGGATGGCAAAGAGGGCCGGCCTGCTCCCCTCACCCCACCCCCATTCTCTAGCCCCGTAATATGGGCAATGTCAGGAAGATTGGTGAGCCCTGACCTACTCCAGTCTCCTTCTTGTGCCTTCTACCTACCCAGACAGCTCAGGCCTGGTTCTCAGAGGGAGAGGGGTACAGAGAGAGAAGCAGTGACTTTCCAGAGGCCAGCTGGTCCCCAGGGAGGAGTTGGGAGGGGGATGGGGTTTGGAGTTCAGAGGACCTCCCCTTCCCCCGTTGGCCAGATGGTACCTCCTCAGACATGGAGGCCCCCCGGCAGGCCCTGGGGACATCTGGGGGAATGTTTGTTCGCTGAGCCTGAGAGGCTGGCAGTGCCTATTGACCCGGGTGACGCCTGAGGCTGGGTTGGGGGCGGGGAGCTGTTCAAGGGGAGTGGGAGGGGGCCACAGAGCCTGCTGCCCTGCCTCTAACCCTGTGCCTGCCAAGCACAACTGTTCCCAGACTCCTGCGGGGCAAGGCTCAGGGAGAGCAGGGGAGCCAGGGTGGGCTGATCTGGGGGAGCAGTGGCGCTGAGGCTGCCTCAGCCTTATTCAGCAGGAACCATGCCTGTGTGGGTGTGTGTGTGATCATGAGTGTGAGTCCATGTGGGGTCTGCGTGGGTCTGTGAACCTGAACGTGGCTTTGGTGTTTCTGTATGTCTGCTGCCCGTGGCCTGTGTCTGTGTGTTAGTGTGTCTGTGGGATTTCAAGTGTGGGGATGAGTTACTCTGGAGAAAGCGATGTGCCCCTTCCCGTCATGTCCCAGCCTCAGGGTTGGGCCATCTCCCCTGTGGGGGCTGGGACGGCAGCTAGCTTCTGGGGACAAGAGCTCTTCTAGATGACTCCTGCAGGAACCAAGGTTCTCTGTCCTTCCACTTCTTCCTACTTAGCGAAAGAAAGGGCAGGCTGGGCACAGGGACACCTCAGTCTGCTCCAGCAGCCCATCCATCTGCTGCTCCCGGGGCTGGCCCCTTGGGAATCAGAGGGACCCAGGCTCAGGTGCTCCCCCAGCTTGGCCCAGCACTGGCTCTGCGCTTGGGGGACTGAGTGGAAGTGGGAGGACAGGGCGGATGAGGCACGCAGATGCTGGTGCGTGTCTGCCCCGCTTTGCACACTTTCAAAGTGTTAAATGTGAGAGACGGAAACTCTCGCTCCTAGGAGGAAAAATATATTTTTTTAAAGCATATTAGCATATTTCCCATAGGTATCTGCCATTCAAAGAGAACCCTAGAGAGCAAGACGCACCTCCTCTGGCTGGGCTGTCTCCTTCCTTGGCAGGTGGCTTAGACAGGACCAGCCGGGCCTTTCCTATCCCTGAAGTGGGGCCCTCCTCCCCACACCCATCTGTAGGAGTTTCAGGCCCTTGTTCGGGCACAGCCAATGCAGAGATCACATACACACTGTGGGGTCTGCGGGCCAACCCTTGAGCCCGTCATCCTTCTGTTCGGTTGGTCTTTCAACCCCATCCTTGGTCATTCCCACTCTCCCTCCCATCCAGTCTTCTCCAACCACCCGCTCACGGAGTCCAGTCACTCTCCTTCCTTTCCCTCATTTTTCTCGTTGAGGCTTTCTTGGGCAGCCCACTCCCAGAGATAATCTGAAGTACATTCCTTTCCCTAAATAACACAGTAGCATTGTGTTGAACTTGTACTGTGCCAGGCTCCTATACAGTAACTCCTTTAATCCTTACAAACCACCACCGGGCACTTACCTTCATCCTCATTTTACCAAGAAACTGGCTAATCAATGGGTCCCAAGTTTCAGGGCCAAAGGGCAGAGCCAAGATCTTGGCCATGCCTTGTGCCCTCTGGACCACTCCTCGACACTGCCCCCCAATGGTCAGGCCAAGGGCTTGGGGGGACATTAGGTCCCTCCCAGTATGGAAGCCCTTTCCTGGCCCCACTGGAGGCCAACGGAGGGATGCATTCCTCCTCCCTTAAGCCCCCAAAGATGCTCCCGCATGCCGTTCAGACCGAGACCTGGTAAGGGGAGAGCAGGCTGCTGGGAACTTTCAGTTTGGGGTCCTGGGGAGCTGGGTTGGAGCACCTGACACGCGAGAGGATACTCTTTCCCCGGGTCCAGCTCTCTGCTCACTCACCAGTCTGGGGGAAGAGGCCATGGGGAGCCCAGGGGATCCTGTCTGGGGATCCCGCTCTCCCTCAGGTTTCCTAGTTTTTCCTGGGGCCCCTCCAGCCCCAGCCTGTGAACCTATTTTTCCCAGGACAAGAAGAGAAGCACGAGTTCAGAAAATAATTTAATAGACAAACAGTGAATTACATTCTTTACACCTAGCCTCCTGCAAGGAAGACACCTCTTGTCCCAAGGAGGCACTAAAGGGCACAAAGGTTAGAGATCACCAGCACCCTTGTGGACTTTTTAAGAACCCCCAAATAACTCCACTGTGTGTACATTCTTCTCCAGATTAAAGTCACTTTGTCCTCTTAAAAGCCCATGTGGGAGCTGAGGAGGTATTAACAGCCCCATTGGAGAGCTGGGGAGATCAGGCCCAGAAAGGGGAAGGGACTTGCCCAGGGTCGCACACGGGGGTAGCAGCAACGTCAGACCCAGAACCAGGTCTCCTGGTTTGCTGGCTCCTCCTCAGCCTGATGGGTTTGGCAGCCCCCATGCCTCCCCCCTCCAGGCCAGGACCAGCTCTGTGGCAAGTAGGGGCGAAGGCTGAAGGCTGAAGACCACTCCCCTTGTGCCCCTGGGCCAGAGCAGGAACAAGGCATGGCTTTCTTAAATTTGCCCCACCCCTGCAAAGTACATTATTTTCATGTCTAAAGGATTATCTTAAAATATTGAGAGAGTGGGTGAGGGTCAGCTCCCAGGAAAACTGGTGAGCTCTGTGGGGCTAAGTGCACACCGTGGGGTGGGTGGTCCCTGAGGGGTCTTGAAGTGCCCCATTCCAGTGCAAGGGGGGAGGTGAGTTGCAATAAGGGTTCCCAGGAAGGACAGGGGTGGGCACAGGGCACAGTTGCCTGCTGACAGGAAAGGGGCAAGAGCAGAAGTGCCCTGCAGAGGGCCCCCTGCCCTGTTCTCGGAGCAAACCCAGAGGCCTCATGCCCCCAAACTGACAGGCTCAAGATCCAGCAACCACCACATAACCAAAGTCACATGAAGGAAACTCTTCTCCCAGAGTCCTGCTCCCTTTCCCCCAGGGGCCAAGGCCCAGTGCTTCCAACACCAACACGGGCCTTCAGACCGTCTGGGAAGTGCAGAGGATCCTGAGGGGGGAGTAGGGAGGCTGGGATGGGGGGGGGTCTCAGAGTTGCCCATCCAGGAAGCCTGCTCCGTAGCGCTGCACAGGGCCACAGGATTCTGGACATCAGTCTAGGGGAGCGTGTCCCCAATTAGGGGTGGCTGTGGTCTGTCCGGTCATTCCCTCCGGGGTCACTGCAGGGTGCACGCTGTGGAGCAGAAGGGGGGAAAGTCCGTCTTAAGTCTCTGGCACAGAGGCAGAACCCAGCGCTGCCCCCAGCCCTTCCCCCTCCTCAGCAGAGGGTCCGACCCCAGGGCAGGACTCACAGCTGCGAACAGACTCCGACAGTCCTTCTTTGTCCACGGTCTCAGCGGCCCAGCGAGACTCCCTCATCTGTGGAGCGGAAGGCAGCGCAGGGGTGAGAGACAGCCAGAGGCGGGCACGGGGCCGCACCAAGCAGCCGCTGAGCGACTGAGCACGAGTGCCAAGGACAGAGACAGCGATGGGGAGACCTTCAGAGGAAGACGGAAGGGGGAGACACGCAAGGGGGCGCAGACGACAGACAGCCACGGGCAGCAGGGCAGAGCACACCCAGCCCGCGTGCCCACCTTGACCTGCTCCTTCAGGTATTCAGCTCGAGCCATGAGGTTCTGAACCTGCAGAGGGACGACACGCCCATGGGGTGTGGGCCGGAGGCGCCTTCAGATTGCCTTCCTCCCCTGTCCTGATGCTCTCCAGAACCCTCTACCCCATCCAAACAACCGCCCCCGAGCTCTCTATCTGCTCCCTTCTCCAGGAGGCCTTTCCAACAGAAGCAGTGAGCCCACTTTCCGCTGCTGGCTTCCCAGACCCTGCCTGTCCCGGCGCCCTGACCCCCAGCACCTGAGCCTGATGGAGCGCGCGGGGCCACGGACCTCCCCAGTCTGTGAGCTCTGACTCCCAGACTTGCACACCCTGAGGGAATCTGAGGAGGGCCCTCAACCCGGGAGCAGGGGAAAGAGGAAGCCTCCCAACCCTCCCAACCGCAGTGGGCACCTCGGTGTGAAGCAGCTCCCGCCTCCGGCCCGGGGGCTCCGCTACAAAGAGAGAGAGGGCGCATGGTGAGGGCTGGGCAGCCTGGGGCTTGGCGAAGTGTGGTGATGGGGGGGCCTCACCTGCCAGCAGCACCAGCAACTCCCCCAGGCCGTGCTGGTACAGGTCAAGGGCATCCTGCTCCCCACCGGCTTCCTCCTCCTACAGCCACAGGGACACTGGGTCACTCAGGGTCATGCCCTGGACTCTTCCCGTTCCATGCGGACCCCTCGCATTGGGTACAAACCTTGGCCGTGGCGGCCGAAGCCACTTCCAGGGCAGCAAGGAGGCGAGGTTTGTCTCGGGCCATCTCTGGGATGAGGGCAAAGACTCAGGGTGAGGGCAGCAGCCTGTTTTTCATCTTAGGGAACCTACCCCACGCTGCCGCCCCCTCAGGCTGGAGGGAAGCTGCTGAGGGCTGAGGCCAGGACACGGGCCTACCTCTGAGCAGGGCTTGGGCGGAGGTCCCCTGCCTCAGCAAGGCCTGATTGGAGGAGGAGACGATGACTTTGAGCTCCTCGGCCCGGGACACGTACTGCCCCACCTGCCGGAGGTGAGGGGCTGAGAAGGGGCTGTCCCACCCTGACTCCCTCACCAGCACCCACCTCCAAGTTCTCCCTCTGGGTCCTCAGTGACTGTCCCACGCTGTAATGGCAGGGGACCCCTGAGGCGGGCCAGACCCTCCCTGGGAGAGAAGTGCTGGTGCTCAGTTCTAAGAGAGCCAGTCTACAGAGACCCCAGAATCGCTCACCCCTTTCCTTCAGGAGACTCCCTCACCTACCTTTGCCTTAATTGCCTCTTTCCGCTGGGCATCCACTTCATCTGTAGAAAGTGGGGGCTTACATGAGGCATCTGCCCTGCCCCCACAGCAAATCCTCTGGAATCCTCAAAAGGACCAAGGGCCACATTTACCCTCTGCTTTGTCTCCCACAAAATTCTGGGTGGGGAGCTGCTTCTGGAATCCAGCCACCGCAGCTGAGGCCGCCCCACCCCTGCTGCACCCAGGGGCTCCGGGCACTCACAGTGCAGGGCAGGCACGAAGAAGTCCAGCGCTTGGCAGTAGAGAGATAAAGCGGCCGCGGCATCCCCGTCCTGGTCCTTCTTCACAGCCTGCACCACCAGGGCGGTCTGGGGAACAGGCGGGTCGGGGATCAGCCCCACCCCCCAGGCTCACCACGAAGAGAGAAGGGCCGGTCCCCGGTGCACCACTGAATGGGGTCGATGAGCCCTCCACCTGCCCCCTCCCCATGCCCTCCCGCTGGCCCGCTTACTGCTCGGGCCAGGCTCTCCCCACTGGGCATGTGCTCCAGGTCCACCCAGGGGTGGGTGAAGAAGTCCTGGAAGGAGATGCGACGGTTGGGGTCCCGCTCCAGGAGCCGCTGCAGCAGGTCCCTGCAGTCTCGGGAGAGCGGGGGCCGCAGGGGGAGCTGTGGGGAGGGCGGGACACAGATCACACGGCACCTCAGCCCCTGGCCCAGCGGCCAGTCAGGACCACCCGGTCTGGGGACGCCCCAGAGGGACACGTGTGCAGGTGGAGAATCGGAGCCTCGGGAAGAACAGTGACAGGACGAGACGCTGGAGCCAGTGGAGAGCCACGCCCTCACTGGAAGCCTTGCTGTTGTGAGCCCTGCGTGCAGGTGCTTCTCCCCTCCCTGGGTCACTCCTGGGAAGGCTGGGCCTGGCCTGCTTGCTTTGCTCCCACAGGGGGCCCACACACAATCGGTGGGGCAGGCCCTTTGCTCCCTGCCATGAGCGACCTGGGTTCCCAGAACCCTAGAGCCTCAACCTCCCCTCTAGAGCATGCCCGGTTCCACAAAGCCGGCCCAGAGCCCATACCTCGGGCTGCACAGGTGGCAGTGAGAGCTCAGAACTCAGGGCCCTGACCCCCTCTCCCAACAGGTTGCCAAGAACCCTTCAAGACCCACCTCGATAACCCGGTTGCTCCGGATCTTCTCCTCCAGCTCTGTGAACGACCTGGAGGCAAAGGGGGGCTGCCCGAAGAGGGCTTCTGTGGAAGGGAGGCAGAGGGCAGGCTGGGAGGGGATAGGGTCAAGCCTGGCCTGGCCCAGTCCTTGGGGTGGGGGTAGGGGGGCTGACACCCCTCAGGGCAGGGTCCCCGAGCCCGTAGAGTCACATTCGATAGAACCCTTCAGGAGTGGCCCAGAGAGGCCTTGCCTGAGGACACACGGTGGAGGACCCTGGGTTGGGGCTAGGGACAGAGCTCTCACCGTACAGGATGACCCCCACAGACCAGAGGTCCACACGGGCGTCGTACTGCCGCTGACACACCATCTCGGGGGCCATGTAGAGCGGGGAGCCACGGAGCACATGCTTCTCGTCCCAGGGAGACATGTGCTGTGCGAAGCCAAAGTCTGCAGGCAAGAGGCCAGGCAGCAGGGCCCCAATTCTAGCTGCTGTGGCTCCTGCCCTTTAAAGCTTCACCCTGGGCTCCAGTTCAGGGCTCCTCCCCACCCGCCAGGCTCACCAGGATCAATCCTACTCTGCAGCCTCTGCTCATACCCTTTCTCTCCAAATTAGCCTAGAATACCCTCCTACATCTTCCTCTGGGAGCCAGCCCCCTCAGGCATCTTTTTCCAGGAAGCCCACCCTGATCGCACCAGCTACGAGGATAAAGGCCCACCAGGGATTAGAAGCTGAGGTTTTACCTTGCTTTCTGGCCTCCCAGCCTCAAGTCCATTCTTGGCCACAGCCACCTCCTCCCCCCCCTTCCCATCCTCCAACACTGCCACAGACCCAGTCACAGGTTGAGCCCCAATCCCGGTGACGGACCAATTCCCAACCCTGCTCACACACTGAGTCCTTCCCATCGTCACACACGGAGTCCTGACCCTGACTCTAGACTGAGCCCTGACCCCCTCATCCACTCCATTGCTGGAGTCAAGTGCGGGGAGCCCGAGAAACGTCCTGCCTTTTGGTGGTGGGGCTTGTCCTTGCATCTCCCAGCCTGTCACTGCTTGATGACTCAACAGAGGGTGCCATGAGAACCAGGGCTGCTGAGCGAGCCCAGGCGGCGGGAGGCCTCAGCACACCCACCCTCCAAACCTCAGCCCTGCTATTCCAGACTCACACCTGCCAGTTTAAGGTGGGGCTTCTCCAAGGAGCTCAGCAGAATGTTCTGTGGCTTCAGATCCAGGTGAGAGATACTCCGTTCATGCAGGAACTGCAGGGCGCTAGCTGGGGAGTAAGAAGACCCACACGGAGAAGCGGGTCAGAGGAGCCCACCCCTCACTTGCCCCTTGCCCCCTCCAGCCTTACATCTGCCCTTTTAAGCTTTGTCCAACCTGACTTCTGCGCTGGTTGCTCTACTGAATGTCTTCATACTTAAGTATCAGGTTCCTGCCACTTCTAAGAATTTGACCCCTACCCGCTGGACACATTCACAAGTCCCCTCCCCCTCCTAGAAGCCTCCCCAGCCCCCCAGCCCGTAGGGTCTTGTTCTTTTCCTTCGCAAAGCACTTGAGTTCTACCCCTGGGCCCTGGAACATTCTACGAATCCGTTATATTATGTTCCACGTGTGGAAACCTGGACTCCCCACAAATGGGGGCTCCTCTCTGTCTCTCATGGCATCCTGAAGCCAGGAATAAGGCATATGGGAAAGATGGGGCCCTAACAATCCAAGCTGAGACAGAGACAACTGCTAAGAAGGGCTCTAAGCCTGGGGTGGGGGGTTGAGGGGAGCAGAGATCACAGGAAGGGGTGTCAGGAGGGGGTCAGAAGCTTTTACCCAACTGCTGCATGAAGACACGGGCCACCTTCTCAGGCAGAATCCTGCGGGTATGGATGAAGCGAGACAGGTCACCCCCCGCGCAGAACTCCATAATGAGGTAGATGTTGTCGCTGTCCCACTGTGGTTACAGAGGCAGACAGGCAGCTTGAAGAGAATGTCCCTTCTCCAGCTCCCTTTGGGGTGGCCCCACCCCAGGCCCGCACCTGGAAGTCTTTCAGCTCTACGATGTGGGGGTGTCGAATGCCCTTGAGGATCTCAATCTCTGTCAGGAGGTTCTCCACAGATGCTTTGTTCAGACTCTTCTTGGCTACGCACTTTATGGCTACCACCTCACGAGTGTCCTTCTGTGGGGACAGGAGATTTGAGGATTCTGCCTTGAGGGGGCCAGAGCCCATGCCTGGCCCCTCTTCCCCCATCACACCAGCCTCCAGGCTTCCCAGCTTCCCCTTCTCAGGCCAGGGAGGCACCCGGATTCTGGAATCCCCGCCTCCCCACCCAGTCTGGTGCTCTCCGACGCTGCTCCATAATCTATCTCATTGTATTCTAGAGTGCCCCCACGAAGGCATGTCATTCAGTGTTCTAGAGCGGCGCACTCCGATTCCTAACTGGGTCCAGCCTTCTAGAACCCTGTCCCAGACTCCTCCCAGCCCATCAAGGATCCTCCCTGTTCCGCGCCTATTCTACAGCCAGTGACACCGAGCTCCACCGAGGCCTCCACCGGCCTCTCCAGACAAAACAGGGCTGTGTGGGCGTGCGTTTGTTTTTTAAAACCTAAGGGTGGCAGCCAGCTCCCAGCTCCTCCACCGAAGGGCGGCCGGCCGCGGGCCTGTCACTGCTCGCACGCCGCGTCTCGCCTCTCTGTCGCCGGACGCCCACCCGCGCTCGCTCGGGGTCTGGCGGGCACAGGGGCCAAGCCCTCATTTGTTCCCCAGCCCCGTCCCTGCCCGGCGCCGGGGTCCCAGGGGGGCGCCCCGCCCCGCACCCACCTTGGCGTAGGCCTTGTACACTGTGGCGTACGTGCCGCTGCCCAGGCGCTCGGTGAGGATGAAGCCGTCCAGCCGCGGGGGGCCCCAGACGGGCCCAGCCATCCCCGCCGCCCCGCGCCCGCCGCTTCCTGCTTCCCTGCTCCGCGTTCCGGCGCGCAGCCCCGCGGTCAGGGCGCGCGGCCGCGGGGCGGACTCCACGCTGCCCCCAGCGCCACCCGCCGGGACTGCAGCGCGGTGGGAGGGGCGCCAGCCCGCCCCGCCCCCACGCCCCGCCTCCCCCGGGTGCTCCAGGGGCCGCTCCGGGGCGCCTCGCCACTGGAAATCACGTGGTGGGAGCACTGAGGTTCCCCTCTCCCCCCCCCCCGGGCCGAGGCCAGCAGATGAGGTCGCCGGGGATAGGGGGAATCCCATCCAGGCTTTATGGCTCAGGTGAAGGGCAAGTGGGGAGAAGCCGGGCTGAGCAGGCGTGCCGGGTGCTGGGGTAAGAGTCAAAGAGGCTCCCAAGGGTGCCCCTCTGGCCCAGAACCAGCAGCTCTAAAGTAGAGATACTGGGACAAGAAGGTGTTTCTAGCCAAGTAGTCTCAGGAAGGCGCTCGGCTCCTCCCAGACCAGCCAGAGTGGGGTGGCCGGATGCAGAATCTTGACTGTCTCCTCACTTACCACTGGAGAAGCCAGATCAGTGCAGGCTCTGTGGGCTACTCCCAACCTCCCAAGTCCACCAGACATTAGGACCAGTGTTGTCTGAAAACGTCTTTTTATTTAAAGCACAAAAATTGAGACATAACATATACATTTGTACATGAAGAAAAAAATACCAGAAAGTTTACAAAACCTTGGTCACTACCGTGATCATTCAGTGGCTCTGGGGCTGAGTGGGCTGGCAGTCTGCACGCTGCCTCAGGGTGGGCCCCAGGTCCCAGAGGCAGGCAGTTGGCCAGCTTTTTGAGAAGTCCCCTCAGTCCACACACCCACCCCTGTATACAGCCTTTAGAGGACAGGGTGCAGGTTTTATCGGTGTAATCCCAGGTACCCATCACATGGACACACCTGAGGAATCCCCAGGGCCAGTGACAGGTGACCTAGGTTCTACTGGGGGTACGGGAGAACCCTAGGAAAAGTGGCTCATCAGTCCAGCATGAGGGATGCAGTTCTGGACTGATTCTTCGGCGCCCCCCCAGAAGAGTCATACACATGAGAGATTGCTGAGGGGAGAAGGCAGAGTGGGGTAGAATCTGAGGCCACGGCAAAGGGCCGCTGTCCCTCAGGAGGAAATCAAAACAGGGCCAAACCACACCAGGACAGTCAGACTCCACCTTCCTAGACAACTGTCAAAGGCTGGACAGGACTACTTGGGGTCAATGTCCATCCCTCCCCATCCCCGAATCCCAGCCAACCCCACTGCACACTCAGTAAGTCTACAGAGGGGAGAGGGCTCAGAGAGGACCCCAGAGGGCACATGTGCCTTCCACACCAGGAAGGCGCAGGGGGTACTAAAGGGCTATAAATCTGTGAGAAACATAAGGCAGGGAAGAGCCTGGGAGCGACCATGCCAGAGGCTCTGGAAGCCCAGAGACCACCTCAGAGTGATCTGGGGGACAGAGCTTTCCACCCACCTGGACGGCAGCTCATCTAAAGGGGAGCCCTTGGGAGACCACCCCAGCCTGGGCAGGAAGGAAAGGCAGGACTGTGGAAGCCACAGGCTGGGTCTGTGGAGCCAGATTCAGGCCAGGCCTACTGGGGGTGGAGTCCGAGGATCCTGGCAGAAATAAAACCCCAGCTGGCATGGGCCCAGGTCAGCTGGTGATTTCCAAGTGTGTACGTGTATGTGATGCGCGTGTGTGTATGTGTGTGTGTACACGTGTAAGGGGAAGTGAAC